AGGAGATAATAGGAGAGAGAAAGAGAGAGAGAGAGAGAGAGACAGAGACGGCCCACGGAGGTCTCAGGAGCGCCCCATGCACCACCCGGGCCTCGCGCCCTGCGCCCGTGCGCCTCCGGCCCTGCTCCTCCTGCGGGAGGGGGGAGGGGGGATACAGCCAGGCCCTCCTCCTCCTCCTCCTCCTCCTCCTCCTCCTCCTCCTCCTCGTCCTCCTCCTCGTCCTCCTCCTCGTCCTCTCCTCGTCCTCCATCTCCTCCTCCTCGTCCTCCTTCTCCTCGCCCTCCCCCCTGGACTCGCCCTGCTCCTCCTCCTAGCGTGCACGCCGGTCGTTGGATTCCCAGATCCCAAGCTACTTCAAGCGCCTTCCTACTTCAAGAATCGGCACGCTTCTGCTGTGTCTTGTTATTCCCTGGGGGGGCCCCGGTCCCAATCAACTAGCGTTAAGTCGGGCCCTCCTCCTTTTTCTCCTAGCGTTAAGTCGGGCCTGTCCCTCTACAGGGGGGATCTTCAAAAATAGTAAAAAATAGTTTGGGGACGATTTTTGACTATTTTGGAGTATTTGGAGGGTATTTTTTGAGTATTTGCATTTTTGGCCCAAAATCCCACTGTAGGGCGACACGCCCGACTTAATCCTAGCGTAATGTTGTGCCAGATTTATTCGTGTGGCCGTTTGGGCCACCTAGTAGGGGTTAGAACGCAACCTCTGTGCACCCGCGGGGCCGATACGTTTAAAAGGAAATCGTATCATTCGCCATCTGGGTGTTCTTTCTTCGGTGGTATGCTGGCCCGGAAGAGGGGGACCAAACATCGCACTGATGCACGGATGTCGTGGGTAGGTAATTTTGCGAGAGGAGAAAGAAAACAGTCGAGACTCTGGTTGAGAAACCTCCTCCCTCAAAAAGTTGGGCCAGCGTTGCTTAACCAGTTTGCCGGAGGCTGGCCCAGCCTCCTGAGCGCCTCCGTCCCTCCAGCGCTAACGACGGAAAGCTGCCCAGGTTTGTTTGAAGCCATTTGCGGGAGGTTGGCCCAGATGTCTTGAAAAGATAGTTGTCTTGACTTTATTTCTGGCTGTGGGGGGGAAGGGGGAGGTGGGGGGAGGAGGAGAGGGCGATGGAGGATGCTGAGGATAGGGGGCCCAGAAATATACACCACCACCACCACTACCACCACCACCGCCACCGACACCACCACCACCACCACCACCACCACCACCAACCCACCACCACCACACCACCACCACACCACCACCACCCACACCACCACCACCACCCAACAACAACCACCACCACCACCACCACCACCACCACCACCACCACCACCACCACCACCACCACCACCACCACCACCACCACCACCACCACCACCACCACCACCTCCCTCACCCCCTCCGTGTCCGAGCAATGGGGAGGTGAAGAGAAGGGTGGAAGAGGGAGGGGTGGATGGAGCTGTTCTTGGGACCCGCAGAGGAGGAAGAGATAGCGATGGAGGAGGAAGAGAAGGAGGACGACTAGTTTAAATCCAAAGCGACTCAAAGATGTTTTCCCTCCAGGTTCCCGGGAAGGGCCTTATTGGAGGACAACCGTCTGAGAGCCCTCAATCGTAGCAAAACACCATTCGTGGGGTTTCGATCCCGCGAACGCACGTGTTTGCTGCATCCTGGTAATTAATCAGACATTCGTGCAAGGACACCATGCCTGGGACCTCAGCACCACGAATCAACGTGACCGCTGCGTTCCAGGAATTTTGAGCCGTTTCAGGACACTGTTCTTGTGATTGCAGCCGCAGGAGTCCTTCAAACTTGCTGCAAAAGTCTACGACGAGTGTGCGCGACGCCGAGACGGCAGACATGTGTTGAGAACGACCCATCTTCAATCCTCGAGGCTGCTGCCAACGCTGAAACGAGTGTGGGGGGGGCTCTGATGCGCGAGCGCCATCTCGAAAACGCACCGCCCCCCGTCCTCGAAGCTGCTCCAACGTTCAGGCTTTCAGGGCCACGGACGGTGAGGAGGTCTCGGGAGGAGCGCCTAGCCCGCCCTGCCGACACGGTTTGGGGTGCGGCGGGGAGGAGTTGCTTGTCAAGAACAGGGGTGAAGGAACAGAAGGAGAAGCACAGTGTTGATGATGATGATGATGATGATGATGATCATGATGATGATGATGATGATGATGATGATGATGATGATGATGATGATGGTGATGATGATGATGATGATGATGATGTTGACGATCATGATCATGATCATGCTGATGTTGATCATGATGAGGATGATGATGAGGATGAGGATGAATATCAGGATGAGGATAAGGATTATGATGAGGATGAGGAGGAGGGTGAGGAGGAGGAGGAGGAGAATGAGGAAGAGCTGAAGGAGGAGCTGGAGGAGGAGTAGGAGGAGGAGGAGGAAGAGGATGAGGAGCAGGAGAAGGAGCGTAAGGAGGAACAGGAGAAGGGGGAGGAGTGGTAGGAGGATGGGATGTAAGAGGAGGAGAAGGATGGTGATGATGCAGATGATGATGAGGTGGAGAAGGAAGAGGAGAGAGCAATAATTCGGTGGACCGAGCGATGGAGGATGAAGAGGATGAAGAGGATGAAGAGGAGGAGAGAGCGATGGATGAGGTGGAGGAGGATAATGGGAAGAAGTAGGAGTGGATGCGCGGGAAGAGGAGGGAAGAGCAGGGGGAGGTCGAGGAGGAGGAGGATGACGATGTTTGAGGTTTGGCTCTCTGTGTCCAAGCTTTGCTCCTGTGATTGAAGAGGAGGAGAGTGATGGTCTACGAGTGACGGAACAGGAGGAGAGGGGAAGGCCGAAGGAGAGGCAGGAGGAGGTGGAGGAGTGTGATAATGAGGGGGCGAAAGAGGGGTTCTAGGGATTCTGCAATCGCGCAGCGATAAATATGGGGGCGACGGAGAAGTGGGAAAGTCCAAAAGGATGAGCGGGGGGGTGAGACCCGAGCGACGTCCGGGTACCCTTTCGACGGGGGTCTGCTTGGAGTTGTCGGCGGTGCCGCCCTCCCCACCCCCTCCCCCGCTCCCCCCCTCCACGCTGATTTACGAATCTTCCTTTCGTGGCCAAGCCAAGGCCGTCCTGGGCCCTGGCACGGTGGTCTCGTGAAGGCGCCTTCTGCGTATCGAGTTCGGTCGGAGTTGTTCTTCCTCTTGCGGGTGACGGACCAGGTCGATCGACGAGCAGGGAGAGCCGGGGACCCCGTGGGCTTCTGCCAAGCAGCCTTGGGGTTTGATGATACAGTTTTTTATGCCGCAGTTTTGCAGCAGTTTTTTATGCCGCATTGAGTCGGTGGCTATCCACATGTGGGCGCTTAAAGGTGAACGCTGCCGGTCGTCCAGATCTTGCATCGAACGATCTGCGCTACAGGAAAGTTGCGATCGTTCAAAGTTGAGCGATCTAGGTGGTGTCGTGAAACGAATGCCGACGTCGTCTAGACGCTGACTTGCCGCAATCATCCACACCGTCGTCTCCCAGGTTGCAGCATGGGCGACTTCCGTAGCCATTTTGGCTCAAGGAGGCTCGTTCTTGTACAGACGATCATCTCCCGCGCCACTCCGAGCTCAGAGTGTCTGCGCTTTTCCAACGATGGTTGCGTACGAGTACATGGCCGCAGTGCTCGCAGTCTTCAGCGTGGAGGCAGTATGGGAGGTGCGGCTCATCTGGCCCCACGCGTGTGGCGAGGGGCTGGGCAAATTCCGCCGCCCCGTCGTGTTGACATTGCTCAGCACCGTAATCGGGCTGGTGCACGTCATTCTCGAGTTGCTGGCGGACTTCCCGAAGAACCGCGTGCTCGGCGAGACAGGTGTGCCTCCCATTGTGTACAACTCCACAGCAAGCAACACGATGGTGATCGCGCCCGCGTTCCAGGGACACTGCGTCGCAGGCATCCCCCTCTTTGACCTCAGCATCGTGGTGGCCTACGGCTTCGAGACACCTCTGTTCGAGTTCGCTGCTGCGGGTTTTTTGTACACTCTTGTTGTCGAGCAGCTCGCAGCGGGCAAGCGCGAGACGACCTACGACAGCTTGCGGCGTCTCAAGAGAGCCAACACGTGGAAGGTGGTGCTGATCACGGCCGCAATTATGATGTTCAACATCGTGGGATTCGCGTTTGCCGGGACGTATTTTCTCTGCGAGAAGCGCTTGAACATGAACTTCGACCTCATGGGCTACGCTCTCACCCCCGAAGACTACCCGTTCACGTCTGAGGAGCGCGACCGCCATTCGTTGGGCCAACTATTGTACTTCGGCGTGCTTGCCGCAAACAACTTGCGCTTTGTCATCTGGATCATGTTGTTCCGTTTGATTCGGAAGCTGAATAATTTGATCCCGAGCGACTCAGACACTTCGAACGTGGTCTCAAACACAAGAGCGGTGGTGAGGGTCGCCTGGGTGCCCCTGCTGTCCGAGGTCGTGGGATGGACATGCGCAGTCGCGGCATTGGTGGCGCAGCAGTTCCTCGACAGGGACGAAGACCAGATCGTGAATTGCATCTTCTGTTTTACGATCTGGACAACACTCAGCTTGAAGCGTCTGTGCTTCGTCCGCTCGATCTGCACCACGGCAATGCGTGATTCTGTCGCTGGGTTGAGGCAGTACGTCTTGCTGCATGGCTCGGCAGAGTTGGCCGCACTGCTCGAAGACGGCGGCCAGGGCAAGGATGCGAGCGAGGCGGCGAAGGAGCTGCTCCGCAAAGGGCTCGCCGAATGCAACGGAGTCCTGCTGAGTCAGATCGGGCCAGACGCGTTCGTGCCTGGCGACACGAGTGCAGAGTTCTCTGGAGCAGTTGAGGCGACCAGTGCGGGGCCCGAGATCATCCAGTGCCAGAGCCCGGATTTCTTCGTAAGCCACAGCTGGCGGGACAGTCCACAGGAGAAATACGAGGCGCTGCGGCAAGTGTGCACCGCGTTCAAGGTGCAACACGGGCGGGAGCCCATTCTGTGGATCGACAAGTATTGCATAGACCAGAAGCGCATACAGCAGGCACTCAGGTACTTGCCAGTCTTCGTCAACGCCGCGAAGCAGCGACTCGTGTTGCACGGGCCTTCGTACTTCAGCAGGTTGTGGTGCATGTGGGAGCTCTACGTGATGACAGTGTCCGACCCGAAGCTAGACAACGTTTTGTTCTGGTCCGTTCAGGGCCACGGCACCACCCGTCTCGGATCCGAGTTGGGCGACTTCGACGTCCAAGATGTGAGTTGTTATCGCCCCGAGGACAAGGGTAAGATCCTCGCCACGATCGACTCCCAGCGGGGAGGCATGCAGGCTTTCAACAGCACGATCCGGGATGTGCCACTCAGCATGTCGCTCCTCCAGCGTAGCGCGATGTGGCGCCGCGTCTCCGGGAGGCAGAGCAAGGTCCCGTCGATCACGCTCGGCCACTCGTCGGACACGTTGGAGGTATGAAAGCAGACGATATTGCACGTACGTCTACGTCCCCAGGTCGGCACGTCAGGTGATGCCCCATTGTTCGAATACGGTAGATGGCGAGCCAATTGTGCTGAATGTGTTAGTCTCGCTCTCTCCATCGCACGACTGAGGTTCAACGTGGAACGAGTGGCTCGTCATCTAACGTAGCGGCTTATCGTCCTTGCAGGGTTTCGGACCCGCAGTGGTTTGGGCTGATTTGGGCTTCCAGCTACATGGTGTCGGACTAAGGCTGAAGCCGACATGACCTGTGTTCGTTGCCGTTTGATGGAAGGGAAGTCACTCGCGCTCCCAGTGCAGTGTTCGTCAGCGTTCGGCTCTTGTTCCGCTTGTGCCCGCGCCGCCGATGCCACCATTGGGGTTGCCTTCACATGGGGCTGACCAGAAGAGCCAACTACCCCACACGGACCCGCAGTGCCTCATTATCCCTCCCTCCCTCCCCGTCCTCCCCCCTCCTCCTCGTCCGCCTCCCTTTCCTCTCCCTCTCCCCCCCTGGGCGTCGCTTCACCGCTCCAGCCGCGAGCTCGAGTGGTATAGGAGGCAAAGTCGGTGCGACGCGTTCCCTCCGCCGGCTGCCGCCCTTCTGCGGGCGACCCCTGAGGCTATTCCCCCCCCCTCCTTGTCCCCGCTCGTCCGCGCCCCGTGCCTCAGGAGGGAAAGAAACACACAGACACAATCTGAAGAATTGGGGCAGCCAGATGTCTGGGTTGCGGCAGCGATCGCTCTCGGCTGCCACTGCATCTTGAGGACTGGTGAACTTCTGCGAGTTCGCAAGGGCGATCTCGAATTGACGCCGCGCCGTGGGCGCGGAGTCGTGAGTTTGCACGCCTCCAGAGGAGGCCAGCGCTGCCTGTAGCAGCAGACGGTCGCGATCGACGATGCGTTGCTCGTCAAGTGGCCGGCTCGGCTCGTCGAGCGAACAACAAGCATGTTCCACAATTCGAGCCCGCCTGGAGGGCGATGGCGTCAACGCAGCGGTCGATCGGGGCGTTCCCCCTCCCCTCCCCTTGCCTCCCTTCCCCCCCTCCCTCCCTCCCTCCCTCCCTTCCCCCCCGAAAGAAGATAATACAGCAGGACCGTGAGAGCCGTTGGTAGCCAAAGAATCGGCGAGGAGCTTTCGCTGGATTTTGCGTGCTGGCCCGCTTCGCGCGCCCTGCTCTCCGGGCGCACATCAGTCAGCACCGCTGTGGCGTGAGTTTGTCTGTCTCGGTTGATGACGTCAGCCGTCGCTCGCCCTGGAGGTGTGTCCGGGGCGGGCGGTCGCGGATCTGGCGCAGCATTTTCGAGCACAACGTTTCAAGTACAACATTGGAGTCGTATGGAAGGGATGGAGCTGAACGGAGTCCTATAGAGTGTTGTGGCGTCCAATCGAGTCCATTGAAGTTCAACGGAGGCCTAGTGAGCCCTTGTGAGTCTCACGGCGTCTCGCCAAATGTTTACAGGCAGCTTGATCAGTCCGAACTGTCTCGCTTGACTTCTGACTTGCTGTGACTCGTGCTGCTTCGCCAACTAGCATCAAACAAAAAAAGGTTGCAGCATGGGCGACTTCACACAGAAGCCTTCGTGGACCAGCGTTGTGTTCGGTTGTTCGCGGTGCAGCCAAGAAGCTGACACACGGGCCAACCTGGGTTCAGGCTGGGCTGGGGTTCGCCGAGGCCCGCCGTGGACAGCGAAGCCCCTTCGTTTCCTACTTGGCGCTCCTCATGGTTGCACGATGGCTGCGCCGCTGGGACGGTGGCCGCAGGGGCAGGAGGCCGTCGAGCTCCGAGGCGGCGGGGAAACGGCGGAATTCACTGCCTGTGCGGGGAAGGGTTCCAATGGGGTGGGGCGCCAGGGAGGCGCTACTCCGGAGGCCTCCTCCCGCCACCCCCTCCTCTGCTCCTGCTCCTTCTCGTTCTCCTCATCCTCCTGCTGCTCCTATGTACTCCTGCTCCTACTCCTGCTCTTACTCCTACTCCTTCTCCTCCTTATGTTCCTCCTCCTCCTCCGCCTCCTCCCCCTGCCGTTCCTCCTCCTCCTCCCCGTCCTCCTCCTCCTCCTCCTCCTCCTCCTCCTCCTCCTACTCCTCCTTCTCCTCCTCCTCCTCCTCCTCCTCCTCCTCCTGGTCCTCCTTCTCCTCCTCCTCCTCCTCCTCCTCCTCCTCCCCCTCCTCCTCCTCCTCCTCCTCCTCCTCCTCCTCCTCCTCCTCCGCCTCTCCTTCCCGTCTCCCTCCCCGGAAACCCCCTTCCCCCAACAACAGGATCAGTTCTACGCCCTCCCTGGTTGCAGAACGCCGCCAGGGGGGGGGGCGTGGTGGCATCCTTGCATGGATCATTGCCATCAGAGTCGAGGAGGAGGAGGAGGAGGAGGAGGAGGAGGAGGAGGAACTGTAGGAACTGTGCATGAGCGGCAACAGAAGTCGCATCCCCGAAGGGAGCACTTGGGCCAATAAATGCGACGGAACGGGACAAGGGCAAGTCGCCTGGCCCACTCGCGGCCGCCTTCCTTGAGGCGGTGAGAGGAGGAGGAGAAGGAGGAGGAGGAGGAAGAAGAGGAAGATGAAGAGGAGGAGGAGGAGCAGCAGGAGGAGGAGGAGGGCCAGGAGGAGGAAAGGAAAGGAGGAGGAGGAGGAGGAGGAGGATCCGGAGAAGTAGGAGGAGGAGAAAGATCAGGAGGAGGAGGAGTAAGAACAGGAACAGGATACGTAGGATGAGAGTTAAGCAGGAGGAGGGGCAGGATAATGGGAGGAGGATGAGAAGCTCGACAAGGAGCAGGATCACCAGTGGAATAACTGATAAGTGCCAGTCGTACGGCAGGCAAGCAAGCACTCCAGCTTACAATCTGTGCCCAACAGAATGCGCCATCGTCTCAATCAGCCGCTGTTGGCAGGCGCTCTTCTTTCCAAGAAGCAATGTACTCAACACTAAGTACCTACTAGAAGCAAACGTGCAAGCGCGGCCTTCCAACGACAGCTCTGCAAGGACACAACCACTCAGGGATGCATCCAGGGAAGCATCGGAAACAAGCGGGCCACCTAAACTCTTACTGGCTCACAGCCGTCATCCCTAAGTGGCGACACTTAACTCGCACCTGTGCGAGCCGCGCGCTTTGACAATTTTCGAACTAAGTCCTCAGGTCACGACATGCCCCCTTGGCTGTTACGCCCCAGGCAGCCTCCGTGGGACACTTCTCCTACGCGAGACAGCCCATCCCCATGCACGACAGGTCGGGAAACCCTGGCCGTGTGAAGAACGGGCGGGGCTTCCCAATGAGCCGCCTGCAGGCGACCCGCCCACCCCCACGCACGCCAGAGCGTGGCACCCTGGCCGTGGGGGAAAAAGGGTTGACGTGCAAAACGTGCGAGGAGAAGGGAGGGGATACCAGAGCAGGAGACGGAGGAGCGCTGGCTTCAGTAACACTGGGGTCCGCGTGCGTGCCGCACCAGCACACCAGTCCCCCGCTCTGCGGCTGATAAAGGAGCATGAGCAGAGACGGAGGAGGATGAGGAGGAGGAGGAAGATGAGGAGAAAGAAGAGGAGTGCGCGAGACTCCTTGGGAAGCTTGGCGGGAGGAGGAGGAGGAGGAGGAGGAGGAGGAGGAGGAGGTTGAGCAGGAGGAGGAGGAGGAGGAGGAGGAGGAGGAGGAGGAAGGGAGGAGGAGGAAGGAGGAGAAGGCGGAACGATACGTCGCTCAGTTGTGTTGCTCGCGCTGGTTCATTCCCCGACGGGGCGTCTCCTGTGGGACGGCCGTGGGGGCCGTCCAGAGCTCTCGTTCCACTTCACCTCTTTGTCTGGTGCACCTGCTTGGCCTGGTCGGTGGTGTCAAAGACCTCTCAAGCTGTGATTGCGCAGCTGTTTCGCTCCGATCCTGGCTCCGGAACGCCGGAGCAGCGCGTGACCATGATGGGCATGGACCTCGGCCGCGGCAGGAGCGCCTGGGCCGTCCACGCGGGCCCCCGACCGAGGCGGGTGTGAAGAGCGCACGTCGTCTTCGCAACACGATCTGCCACTGGCAGTGGATATTGACGAACCCATCCCGCTGCCATGGTCCCGGGTGGATCTGATAAGGACTGCCTGTCTCGCCTCGGCGCCGGTGGCGCTTGCTATTTTCTGGGGCCTGGGCGCAGGCGTCCGACGATGTGTGCGCAGGAGGAGGAGGAGGAGGAGGAGGAGGAGGAGGAGGAGGAGGAGGAGATGAGAGGTTGGAGGAGGTTGGAGATTGGAGGAGGAGGAGGAGGAGGAGGAGGAGGAGGAGGAGGAGGAGGGGGAGGGGGAAGGAGGAGGAGGATCCGTCCTCGGTGGCCCCCCCGGGCCTGGTGACGGGCCCCGGAAGCCAAGACCGAGGCACAGCGCCGGCCTTGCGATACTCAGACCGTCGGGGAGCTTTGGGTCGGGTCCCGCTGGGCCAGAGCTCGAGTCTCCGGCGGCCGCTCGAGACGACCCAGGCATCCCCCAAAGAGGGGAACGAACAATGACATAAATACAAATACTCGGAGGTCCGCTCGGATTTCTCGGATCCGCGCTGGGGCCCCCTGGCGGCCCAGCGCCGCCCCTGGGGCGCTCCTCGCGACAGGGAGGGGGTCCAGCGCGGCTCCGAGAAATCCGCGCGGACCTCCGAGTTTTTATGTCTACGTCACTGTTCGTCCCCCTTTTTTGCTGGAGCGCATCCCGAGACATGTGCTGGCGGCTGCGCCTCGGCAGCCCTCGGCGGTGCTCCAGCCAGAGGTGGGGTCCACCGCCGAGGGCCGACGAGAGCACCCGAGCACCTGCAGACCTGAGGGCGGGTCGAGCAGCCACGCGCAGAGGAGGGGCGGATGGCCGGCGACCTCCCCAGGAGAGGGTCGCACGCGAGAGGAGGGGGAGGAAGCATCCAGGCTTACGTCGGGCCTGTCCCTCCACAGGGGGAATATTCAGAAATAGTGAACAAATTGCCTCGGGATTTCTGTTTGAGGAATTTTTGGCCATGGTGGAGTATTTTCGGAGTATCTTCAATTTTTCGTCGAAAATCCCCCTGTATGGGGGACACGTCCGACTTAAATCCAGGCATCCCAAGAGGGGTCCGAGCAGGTGGGGTCCGGGGACCGCGCCGGCGTCGCCGATGCCGCGGCAAGGCGGAGCGATCGTCCGTCCAGGTCTGTCAGGTGTTGCCAAGGGTGTCCCTGGCCGCACGTTCGGCCACGCGCCGAGGGGGGGGGGGAAGGGGCGAGGGCTTCTCAGGATCACCCATGCCTCTGAGAAGGCGCGGGCCTTATCCCTCTCTCTCTCTGTCCCTGTCTCTCTCTCTCTCTCTCTTTCACTTTCTCTCTCCCTCTCTCTGTACACTCTCCTTTTTTGTTCTATCTCTCTCTATATATATAGATACACACAAGACTGCAGTGGCGCTTCGCGCCATGCACCTTGGTCCTTGAACATTGGCATGCAGGCGGAATAGCAGGAAGGTCAAGCCGACAATTTAGCGATAATTCCTTGATGCCTTTTCCGGCAACGCCGCTATAATCATGTTATTCGTTATCCGTCCTCCATGCTTTTTTTCTTCATGTTCGCCATACCCTTGCGCATTCTCACCATCCTCCTCAGCTCTTTTTTGCGGAGGCTCCTCCTTGGAGAGCCTCTGGGGGCCTCACAAAAGTTGTTTCAGGCTTTCTTAAGGCCTTCTGGAGGCTTCCTGGGCGTATTCTGGAAGCCTCTGGCGGTTTCCTCGGGCCACCTTGCCTTCAACCGCGGTCTCCCTGAACGACGGGGTCACGATTTGGAATGCTTCGGAGGGTGTATTGGGGCCATCTTGGGCCGCCATGGGACTCTCTGAGGGCCATCTTGGAGTTGTGTTGTGCCGTTTTGGGGCTCTCTTGGTCTGCCTGGAAGCCCTTTTGGATGGTTGTGGGGCGATTTTGGAGCCTCCCAGGCGGCTTCGGGCGCCCAGAAGACCGCCGTCTAGGAGCGTCGGGAAGCCGAACAGAGGAGAACCCCAAAATTCACCAAAAACCATAAGAAAACCACTGATTTTTGCCTCTGGGGGCCTTCTTGGGAGTGCTCTTGGAGGCCTCTTTGGGGCCGTCCTGGAGGCCTCTTGGGCCATCCTGAGGTTTCTGGGGGGGGGTCCCCCCGCCCAGGCTTACAAAATATAGGAAGAGGAATATTCCTCTTCCTATATTTTTGCAAGCCCAGGCGGCGGGACCCCCCCCCCCACACCAGACTCCCGGGATCTGGGGCTTTGGGACCCTCCGGACGGGCCTCGAAGCGGCCCCCCGGGCCTCGCAGGGCGTTTTGCCAAGCCTTCCCAACACACCTAGGGCGACCAGGGGGCTCATCGGAGACGTCCCAGAGACCCCCAAGACAGCACAAGAGCGCTCCAAGAGTGACCGACGTGACCGCAAGATGGCCCAAGAGGCCTCCAGGACGGCCCTAAAGAGGCCTCCAAGAGCACTCCCAAGAAGGCCCCCAGAGGCAAAAATCAATGGTTTCCTTATGGTTTTTGGTGGATTTTGGGGGTCTCCTCTGTTCGGCTTCCCAACGCTCCAAGACGGCGGTCTTCTGGGCGCCCGAAGCCGCCTGGGAGGCTCCAAAATCGCCCCACAACCATCCGAAAGGGCTTCCAGGCAGGCCAAGCGAGCCCCAAAACGGCACAACACAA